TTCGTCTGAAAGCTATTTGCATGTCGGCTTCCTTAGATTTCAGAACATATGTTCTCATCATCACACCATCAGGTCACTTTCTTTGTATCATTTATATTTCTCTCCATAGTGTTTACTCTCCAAAGCAATTTAATATGTGTTTATTTGTTTAGTCTCCACTTCTGCATCAAGAATAAAAGTTATAGAAGAACCAAGTATTAGTCTAACTTTATTCACTATGATACCAACAAAAGTAAATGTAATAAATGAATGAATCATAAATTTACTGAGTATACCAGAGAATGAATTGAACACCTTTCTCACTTACCTTTTCCTATTTTCTTTTTTTAAGATTTATTTATTTATACATACAGAGCTGGGATACAGGTCAGATGTACAGGGACAGAGAGAGGATTCAGTGGGAAGCAGAACAGGCAGATCAACAAAGTACACTGCTAAGGGGAGTAGTGGGTAAGACTGGAGAGGTCTGCTGCACCATGTGGATCACCCCTGGGACTAAGGATCAAACTTGTACTGAAGCAGCCACAACCAGCTTCACAGTGCTGTGCTCCAACCCACTGTGCCACCAGGGAGGGTCTGTTCCATATTCTTATTGTAGATATCCAAATCACCAAAGCAACCACAGTTGGAGGGTAAACTTATCTGGTTATCTGCCCCTTTTGACATGTTACTGTGCTGAAGATGCTATGACCTCCTTCTATCCAGTTGGAGTAGCACTATTTTCATCTATGAGAGATAGGTAAGAAAGAGCAGCAGCAATGTTGATACAGAATTATTTGGTTATTTATTATTTGACCACCTCCTTACGTATAATGGTACAATGGACACACCACCAAAAAGGGAAGATTCAAGAGTTAAGGAATACATACCGGTGAAATAATTAGGCCTGTGAAATAATTAGGCCTAAATGAGAGAATAATTTTGCTGGGGTAGGAGGGCTCAAACAGCAACTCAAGAATTTCAAAGACTTGTGGAATCTTGAATAGATACGAGCACTGATACATCCCAAATGAATGAGTGAGTGAATGAGTGAACAAAAAAGCAAAAGATCAGCCTAATAACAATGAACCACCGAAAAGTAAATGCAAATCATGAAAGAGTGATTTTAATTATGTAGAGTATGGATTGAGTGTGTTACCTCACTGAGGGTTCTATGGTAAGGATTTGAATGATATTTAACTCACTTGAAGCTGATAGATTTTGTTAGGCTGTGAGACACTTGTGAATGAAGCTATTATATTGAGAGGAGCCAAAGTCCAAAGGAAATTCGCACAAGATAATGTCATGCTTCTGAGCATAAACTGAGACACTTGAATATTGCTAAATTATGATGAAATCATTGTGAATATCATAGCAGGAATCCTAAGGAGAAGTATTAACAATTTTGCACTTCTAGTTCATATGGAAATGCTAATTCCACTTATGAAAGTAAAGTACAGGCATGATGTTATTATGATTAAGAACTTACAACTGTAGAAATGCAGAGTGGTATATTAATAATATTATAGACATGTTTAGCATAAAATGCAAGTAACAGGGCTCAATGAGTTGTACATTGCAGGCTGCATCTGGATTTTCTGTGAGTTTATTACCTTACAAAACTAAAGAGAAGAATAAACCTTTCATGCTTCTTAGGGTGCTCAGACATTAGCCGGTTTTTGTTTTTCCTGCAGCATTTGTCCCTGGAGAGTGCCAGAATCTTCTAAAGCCTCTTTTAGAAAGGCAGTATGTTATTTTAAAGTAGTAGTTAAGATCATCTTACTTGGGTGATGACGGGCTGTTTCACAGGGCTAACAGCTATACTTGCCTCACAAATAACCTGAAAGTATGTTCATTTTTGCCAGCCCTCTTGGAAAATTGTATATAGTGGTTTACAGAAAAATAGCTTGTATAAATTTCTGTAACTTGCCTGTTTGTTTCCTTCTCTACTAAGCAAAGCAAAAATAGGTGTCAGTAGATTTAGAGTAGATGTGGTGGCGTCACCATTAAGATGAGATGAGTTACCTCATATACATAGACTATTGGACTTGTTTGCATTTACTGGATTTCAGTGAGGGATCAGAGAGGAGAAAACAAGGAGGGGAAAGGAAAGGTACTCAATATAACACTGATGTGAATGGTAATGTGTGTACCCACAAATAGATTTATTTATTTTCTAAATGATGAGATAAGCCATGTGAGCAGATTTGGGCACACAATCAATCTTCTTCTTATACGCAGCAATTACAGAGTGCACCCTCTGGCCATGGGTTGGGTTAGAGACTTGCATTTGCAATGCCACCTGAACCTAAATGATAAATATTAAGTAATTACCATACATAATAAACTTTGTGATTTTGAAATTGTTTCAAAACATCAGTCTTAATTAGTAAATGGTATAAGTTAAAGGTTTTTTTTTTTAAATCTAAGTTATGTATTTTATTTTCAGGGCACTCATTAAGTCAATATAATTTAAGAAGAGTTGACAACAACTGGACTTTACTTAATGACTGCATTAAAAAAAAAAAACCTCTAAGTACATTATATATGTTTTTCTATATAAATATGTAATTATATTATCCTCTTAGGTAAATATTATCCTCTTAGGTAAATGTCTTTTACTTTTCTAATTTATATGATGATTAAGTTACTACTTCCTTTTCTATATGAGAACAGAAACTGTTTCACTTAATCAGTTCCCCCCCTCCCCATGGAAAAACAGGTCCTAAGGTTGAAACAACAAAGTTACAAATAAGTGGTGGAATGCTACTGTATTATCTGGGAACTGCCCATTAGCTCCAGTATAGGACACCTTGATTTATATAAAATTAGTACATAGTATAAGTAAAATTAACTGAACTTTACATCTCTTAATTTTTGTAACCATTCAGATTCCAATCCTTTTAAGTCTTCTGCAAAAAAAAAAAAAGAAAGAAAAGAAAAGAAAAAGAAAAAGAAAAAGAAATAAAAGAAAAAAGAAAACAAAGTTCTTCCTTCCCTACCTTATCTATCTTATTGTTGACAATGCAACAAGAAAGTTATTCAGGGCCCTCCCTGGTGGCACAAGGAGTTAAACTGAAACACTATGAAGCTGTCCTCAGTCACTGCAGCACAAGTTTCATCTCCAGCCAGCGAGGTAACCCACATGGAGTGGCAGACCTCTCTTGTCTTGCCTGCTTCTCTCAGCAGTGTATTTCAATACATCTGCCTTTTCTGTTCCCCATGCTGTCTCTGGTGAATCCTCTCACACACCCACCTCTGGCCTGTACCCCAGTTCTTGTATGCATAAATAAATAAATCTTAAAAAAATAAAATATATTATTGGCTACTTATATAAATGAGAGGGATGCTCATAATCTATGCATGTGTGTGGTTTTTTTAAAAGATTTATTTATTTATGCATACAGAACTGGAGTACAGGGCAGAGCATCAGGGGTGAAGAGAGGATTCACCAGACAGAGTGGGAAGCAGAACAGGCAGATCAACAAGGTACATTGCTGAGGGGAGCAGTGGGCAAAACAGGAGAGGTCTGCCAGGCCACATGAGTCACCTGGGGGAGGGGGGGGATTGAGATAGAACTCATGCTGACATGGCTTTAGCTTCTTAGTGCTGTGCTTTAACCAGCTGTGCCACCAGGGAGGGCCTATGCATGTGTGTTTTAAAAGATGTATAAATAGTTGTTACCCCAAACAAGAGAGACAAGTTGCCTAAAGACAGGGACAGGAAAGATAACTACAACTCACACTACAGTGTTTTGTAACACTTGATCTTTATAACATTGGAAAGCCTTAGTTATTTAAATAAATAAACTTTAAAATAATAATAATAATGATGATGATAATAATAATAATAATAAAAGAGGTTCCTGGCTGGCCCACCACCATCCTTCATTTTCAGCACCATTCCTGAGAGACTTCAGTCTTTTCAGGCCCTCACATGAGTGACTAACAATGTTAGTCCTTGACTCTTGGAGAAGGAATGACACAGTGGTAACTTGTCTGCCATCCACTGGATTGCTGGGTGCAGCCTTAGTGTCACCCTCTCCATGGCAAGCTTTCCACTGGCACTTCCATATGAACATGTGGAGAAACAAGTGCCAGGAGGAACTTGGGCAGCAACAGCAAGCAATGTGATATTTAAACAATAATCCTGAATACCATTCTTCATGTGCCCCTGAGTGAGGTTTTCCTGGAGAGTGAGGTTGATTTAGGGATCAGGGATCAGCTGCTGAAGCTGGCACTTGGAAAAGACAAACCCAGCATTCACACCCCAGACCACTCAATACCAGCATTGTCTCCAATCCATCTTTCATAAGGGGGCTCCAAGAGGGGGAGGGGATAAAGGAGGAAAATAACCTTTTAATCCTGTAAAAGAAAGTGCAGGAACCAGAAAGAATGAACAAGATGGAGAGTGTGAAAAGCCTGTTGCCGGGAACATTTACTTTTCAAATCAACTTTGGCTTTTCATCTTAGACGCCACTGTCAAGTTTCTTCTCTCTTTTACATTCCTCATCCCATCTTGCAGCACAAGTCTCTCCAGGCTCCCGCACCGCCCCCCATGCTTTCCTGTCCTCTGTCTTTCACTCTCTCCATCTGTCCTTCCCATCTCCTTTCCCTTCTTTCCTTACCCTCTTTTTTTCCTGGACAGTTTCTCTGATTCTTTTATAGCCGGAGTCCTTCTCCTTCTCTCCTTCTCTTGCACAGTACCTCCAAGCCATTCCCTCTTCTTAAGGAAATAAGCCAGGCCTCAGATGGAGCTGTTGTCCTGACAACCTAAAGGCGCATCAGGCTTTCATTGAGGCTGGTTGCTGCTGAAGGGGGCAGTTGTGCAAAGCGTGGGGCCACCCTGAGGGGAAGGAGGGGGGATGACGTGGAGGGGCTGTAGAAATCCGGGGGTGGGGGGAGGTGCTGAGCTGAGAGAGGGAGGGACTGGCGAGAGAAACAAGAAAGGGAGGAGGGGGAGAGAGGCTCTGGGCTGCCGCGGCGGCTGTGTGGGTTTCTTTACACTCCCTGGCAGGCTGGGTGCCGGCTCTCTCGCCCGCCTGCCTGGAAAAGTGGGTTACAGGAGGAAGGAGCTCAGCTCAGACACTGGCAAAGGAGCATCCAGCTACAGAGAGCCCAGAGAAGAACACCTTCCTTGTGCAGCCTTCTGCTCATCTTTTCTAGAGGGTTTTATATTTGTACTCTTTTTAAATTTTGTTCCTTTGACTTTTCTCCCCTCTGCTTGGGTTTTATGAAGGCTTTGTTAAGTCTTAGAAGGAAAAGAGACTAAGCAAAGGAAAGAGAGGCTAAGTCGAAAGCACCACAAACTGGCAAGTCCCCTGTGCCTGTGCTGTGGATGAAAGCCCTCTGTTTGTAAAACCCTCGCAGGGTGAGCAGCACGCACACACCCTCCAGAGTACCCCGCGGACCGGCACCTCGGCGGCGTGGCCACCATGGTCGGCAGAGTTCAGCCTGATCGGAAACAGTTGCCGCTGGTCCTACTGAGATTGCTCTGCCTTCTTCCCACAGGACTGCCCGTTCGCAGCGTGGATTTTAACCGAGGCACGGACAACATCACCGTGAGGCAGGGGGACACGGCCATCCTCAGGTAGGGCTTTGGGGCAACTTTTCTGTTGCACGCCAGTGTGTGTGTGTGTGTGTGTGTGTGTGTGTGACAGAGAGAGAGAGATATCTCCTTGAACTCCAGCTATTGATGCTGCAGGCGTGTGTGTGTGTGTGTGAGCGTGTGTGTGTGTGTGAGAGAGACAGAGAGAGACAGAGAGACAGGGAGAGTCTGTGTGTATGTGTGTGTGTGTGTGTGTGTTCATGCCCGTGGGAATACCTCAAACTGACTGGTGGAGGTATCTGCAAGCAAATCTCAAGGGAATTCTGGTCCCTCTCAAGGACTGGCAGGGTTAGTTAAATATTTTCTTCTTTGGACTTTGTTTCTCTTACCAAGAACATGTAACTTCATCTATGGTATTAATGACATTTGGGCAGTGTGCTTGCTTTTGTAATTGAGGATGCTTCGACTTCAGAGTTTTGTGGGAGTTCCTTAATTGAGAAAGAAGAGTTGTTGATTTATGGCTCTTGGAGAGTGGTATACAGTGCTGCATTCTTATTGGTGTGTGTGTGAGTGTGTTGTGTCTCTCTGTGTGTGTGTTCACATCAAGCTCTCACTCTGCCTTAGCAATAGTTCCTTGGATAGGAGATTTCTGTAAGGATCCTTGAATTGACATCCAGAGCAATACATCAATTTTAGAACTTTGGTTGGTTACTGAGCCTGTTTCTGGTATCGGGATAGAAGTCAACAAGAGGATGAATAAAAGCATAAAATGGGAACCTGCCAAATGGCTGATATTTAAGAATAGGAGTGTTAGACACAGAGGTTAGGAAAGAATTAACCTGGCATAAAATGGATATTTTAAATTGATTATTGACCTCAAAGTCTTATCTCTCTGCAGCCGTGCCAGATTCAGAAATATAATTTGGGATTGAAATTTGGAAGGAAAGAGCCCAAGTCCTTGGGAGTTTGACCCCTATAAGGGACAGTAAGCTAGAGAAACTCACATGGAGCCTAGCCATAATTCAATTTCTAAAAAGCTCCACTCTTCTTTTCCCTTGTTTCTCTTCCCTTTCTCCCCTCTTAGTGAACTGCAAATACTCTGGTCCTTTTTCTCTACTTTCATTGAATTTCTATCAAATTTTAACAAAAAGAAGAATGAAAGAACATATTCTCTTTAGAGATCCTTTAAAATATTATTTCACCCAGATAGCATGATCAAGTGTCACTCTGTCTATCTCACTAATATTGTTTGTTGTTATAATAAAAATAGTATTTGGTAGAAAATAAGCCTCTGATCTGTGTGCAAGGAGCTGATAGTGCACAAACCCTGGGGCATCAGGGAGCAGTTCTAAAGCAGAGCTGCCTACAGCAGCAAAGTTTTCTTTCCTTTTCTCAGAAATAAATTTGGTTGGCTGTCACAGTGTCCTGCTTTGGGATCTCTAGCCTTGTTAGAGAAGAGTGTGAGTGTGGGTGTGGGTGTGTGTGCACACACACATGGTGTGACACATGTTTTGTCTAATGTGGTTGCTGCAGATTGTAAAAACTAAGAAAATCCTAATGTGTAGATACTCCTTTCTTCATTTCCTGAGCAATGACAGATTATGAATCCCAAAGATCCTACTATCCAAAGCAGATTTTCTCTTCCAGCTCTTCAGCTTTGTAAACCTGCATGTGTGATTTATCCACATGGAGTAATAAGATTTATAGAGTAATTTATCTGTTTGCAAAGGGATTTGGACATGATGCAAAAAAATAAAATGTTTTTGCATGTCATCTTAGCTGCGAACATTCATACTCTAACATTATTAACCCTTTACTAGTTAAGCATTCTATATAAATAAATATTAGCCCTTAGTACTATTTTTTTCTGACTATAGATTGAACATGATAAAAGTGAACAGTGTGAATATATAAGACTTTAGTTAAATGGCTGTGAACTTTATCAGAATCATGTCTATCTTAAATTAGAATGATCAAAGAATTAGGGAAATATCTAAATGTTAATTCAGAAAAAAATATTCTTATGTTTACATATAGTATCTGCACAGAAGTCTGTATCTTAGAGTAGCAGCCTCACTACATAAATATCTAGAAATGATATATATGTGCTTCTGTGTGTCTCTGGCTCAAGACAAATAGGATTTTCTTTCTTTTTTTTTAAGCATTACACTTTAGTAGACATTACAGTGTGAAAATGGGTAGTGAGAAAAGAGAATAAATATAGAAGCAGTTCTTCCCTGGGAAAGAGAAGATAGACAAACAGAACAGGAGAGAAGTCATGTGTAGAGTTGTCTCTTCCCTAGGTCTCACCTAATATGCCCTCTGTTTATTTCCTTTGCCTTGGACAAGGCTTTACTTCTGGGTTTGTAGAGCTCTATCAGAAGTAACTATGGAGAGAGTTCCCTTTGTTTTCTTAGCTGACCTTCTTCTCAATCTCTTTAGCTGAATCCAGTCAGCTTTGTGGGTCAGTTTCCTGGTGAAGAATGGTTCTCTTGCTTTCTGTTTACAAGTCCAGCCTGGGAAAGGCTGGCTTCCACTTTATTTGTGCCATTTTCCTGGGAGCATGAGCTTCCAGGGGAGGAGAGGAAGGAGAACTTGATTCATTGGAAGCCACACTAGAAGTTTGGCATTGAGAAAGTGAAATGGCAAAGGGAAAATATCCCTCCTGAGTGAGTGTGTGGCCTTGGATAATTTGAAATGGCAACAGGAGACAAGGGAGGTTTATAATTCTGGTGGCCCGGTGACAGGAGTTTGGCTGACTGTCCCCAAAACATTTACCTTCATTGCCTACTTACATGAAACAAGTCTTTATTTTGTAAATTGGAGTTATTTTTTGTATAATTATGATACTTTATGTAACGGTGGTCTTGATAGGCAAATGTACACTGATCTTGGGGTCTTGCTCCCTAATTCCTATGTTTTGGCATAAAATAAAGACTATAGAATAAAGGTGATGAAACTGGATGGTAAAAGAGATACTTTCTTATATACTCACGTAATCCAGTTCTATTTCAGAGAAAATTCTAGAACTCTATCAGGTCCTTTGAGAGCTAAAGGAAACCATAATTCCATCCTCTATCTTAAGGACAAAAATCAAAGAGTGACTTATAAATGAGTTGTTGCTGCAGCATACTTAGACCTCATTCCTAGACCTACTGAACCAGAATCTATACTTTAACTTGTATACACAGTCAAGTATGAAACGTACTTGTCCAAAGGACTTATTGGGCAGTCTCTCTTATTTTTCTTTCTAAATGACACCCACCTGCTTTGTTGCCTCCCTGGCAAATATAAGAGTTTAGCACTTATTAGATGAGTTTCAAGTACTGGTCTATCCAGCTTTCTATCCTTGCCTAAAGATTTCCATAGAGATTGACCTCCTTGGTAATTTTGACAGATTAAAGCCATGCAGTTTTCTTCATAAGTCAGGGGAAATAGTGGTACATTCCAACCTTTAATTTTATCTTTTTAAGAGTCCCACTGACAATATTTTCCATATCAGTGGCATATGTCTGCAAATATACTATAAAATTCTTGATCTAGCTTTATCTATTTACAAGATAGCTTTGTAAATATTACAATACATGCCTATCTGGATATGTAGTGTAACTTCATACATGATAAAATGCAAAATTTTTGCACTATTGTAATCAAACATTTTAAATTCAGAGTGTTGAACTTGTATTTATTTCACAATGCTGACCTTATTTGATGTTTGCAGGATATTATAATACTTCTTATGGTGATAAAATTTTCCCATTTAAATGTAAATGCACCTAATAAGTGTTAGGTATAAGAACCTAAGTATCTAAGTTTAGGATAGTTCAACTTTTAATTTTACAGTATTTCAAGTCTTTATTTCCCTACTCATTTCCACAGTAAAGGAAAAAAGAAGAAACAACACAAAAGATGCAACTACTTGATAGTATAAAATTTTCTTGTGTGTAAATTCAAGGAAAAGTTACTTCTCTTATAAAGCATCTGGAATGCCTACATTTACTAGGAAAGTGTCAACACTCAAACAAACTCCTGACACAATATGTGTATTTCTACCTCATATAATTCACCATTTGAAAACAAACTTACTAGGTATGGGTCTTTAGGAGGAGTTTGCAGTAAATGAATTTTTGGGATAATTAAATCATTAATAGTAATCAAATTTTATTGCTTATTACTGATAATTTAAGGACCACCCATTGATTATAAAACCCTTTACAAGTATGTTTGGTAAATAATAGAAAACAGTATACTAGATATTGTCTAGAAATACAGAATAGCATATTTGATTTTCAAAAGATTTTTTTGTTTTGTATCTCTGGATAATACAGTTTGTTGTTCTCTTATGTCAGAAGACCATAGCAGGTAAGTCTCATGTGACAAGTGCAAATTTTGATAATTTGTGTTTCTATTTAAGTATAAAACCTGTAAATAAGTATGCATATGCACACACACACATACATACCATATGTTAGGTGATATTTTTTTTTTTTAATGAGCTATTTGTAGAATTGTGGAATGAACAACCAAAAGTGACTGGCTCATCCACTAAATCAGTTAATGAGAATTTGTGTTTCTTCCACTTGGCTTTATCTAACAGTAAACTCATATAAAAATAAATAAAAGATTAGTGTGCATTTTTCTGTGTCTTTGAGAGTGGCAGTTACATATGTCTCTGATTTACCTGAGAGGTGGTTGCCTGGATGTGTACTGGTCTATCTTATTATCATCACCTAAACCTTAAGAGTCCTCTCCATTCAGTTCATTTCTTATGATTTACATACTTTCATTTTTCTTTCACTATCCTTCCCATTAGTTTTTAAGACTCAGAATTTTGGACCCTAATTGTGGATCTGATCTTGCTTTCTACTTAACTGAACAAATTCTTTAAGATTATATTTTTTGTCACTTTCATTTATAAAAAAAAAAAAAATAGTACCCAAAAGGTAAAGTAAGATATTTTTTAAGTGTAAACTGCCATTAAAAAAAAAAAAAGGTTTTCCAACATATACAGTCAGTTGTTTTGTTTAGACTTTAGAGCTTTG